AACTGACATTGGTCGGCGCAGCAATTTTTTTTTTTTTTGCTTCGGGTTGCCTCTTTATTGGATATGCTGTCAGTTTTCTATTATGCCCGATTACTGTATGCAGGCTTCGAAGGGCTGTCTGAGAGGGAGTAATGTATTATGCATCTGGGAGAGATTAATGTATGAATCATTGTGGGAGTAATGTAATGTGCTTCTATTATGCCAGATTCCTGGGATGAGATCCATCTGGCAGCACTTGGTTTTTTATATATGTTGCTGGTTTTTTTTATGCTTCGGGTAGGGAGTAATGCATGAATCAAAGCTTTGTATCTTCCACTTGGTTTCCTCTTTCACATGACAACGGAATTTTTAAGAGTGCAACACAGAATCCGCATTATATCAAGGTATGCTGCGCCACGACATATTTATTGTATTTTTTTTAAATGTGAAACTGAGGTTCAACACCTTACAGGAAAGAAATATTTGGTGGATGCTGGTTATCCGTTGCAGCGAGGGTATCTCAAACCATATCCTGATACTATATATCATATATCTGATTTTGAATGAGCATGTAATATTACACGAAACAGAAAGAAGGTGTTCAACAAAAGACATTCCTCTTTGCGAGACGTCATCGAGAGGACATTTGGTGTCTGGAAGAAGAAATAGGTGATATTACGTGATATGCCTTCTTACACATTTCCAAAACATGTTCAGATTGTGATAGCGATGATGACAATACACAATTATATTAGGCGACACCCGTCTCGATATGACATTGATTTCCTCAATGCTGAAGCAAATCAACAGGAAATAATTGAAGACCTATCTGAAAACCAAATTGGTAGTTCTATGTTACGAGATGACAACGAACAATCAACCATTTGTACTAAGGAAGGAGAAGGTGCAACTGAGATGACAGTCATTCGAGAACAAATTACTAATGCGTTGGTTAATATGTGATTGATTTGTAATTTGTTAGAAAAACGAAATAATTATAACTTATGAGTGTTTGGTATGAGAAGTTACTTTATGTGCACTGGTGATGTAATAAATAACTTTATTAAGGATTAAAACTTTTTATAAATGGTTATGGAAGATCATTTTACGGATTACAATGTCCTATATTATTTGCATTTAGCTGGAAGCTGTTTAGATTACAATGCCTTATATCTAAGTTTAGGTGTCTAATATGTTGAGACAAGAATTATGTGGTATTTATGTAAATGTCCTAAGTTATATCAACTTTTGAAGAATTCAAGAGAGAATTAACATAACGTGACATCATTTAAATGTACTGTATATTTAAATTTCTTACTTAAAATCATAATATATATATATATATACTAAATACTTAAATTTGCACCATAATTATAGTTAATTTTATATATTTACATATATTAATCAATTTAATATATAAATATATAAATTTATGAACAGTTTTAATAAACATGGACAATATGATCTTTTTTCTATAAACAGTTACACCACAGCTTATTTCACACAGCTGCACCAAACATATTGCTAGCTTCCCCACAACGACTTCCCCGCAGGAGCTTTCTGGGGCAGCGTAACTGCAGTTGAAAAACTGAGAAGCTGCGCCTGCGTCAAACAGACCCTTAAATTGGTCCTATCATTAACGATTCTGGATGACAAAATGAATCATATGAGTGCGTTTGCATAAGGAGGGCAATCATATTGCTGTGATTTCACTCATGAACAAATCACACACAAATTGATGAAATTTAAATAAAATAATAATAAATCCTCCATTTAAACTCTCAAGAAAGCCTTCCCTAAACCCTAGCGGAGGAATTATTGCGTGCGGACACCGCATGCATCCCTGTATGTGGTGTCCGATCCTGGCCGTAGATCATGATTATTTCTATTTAAAAAAAAATAAAAATAAAAAAATAGATGGGGCTCACCGAAATACAGACGATCGGTATTGAATAATTTTTCCTAGCGCGGTGGTCCACCTGCGCTTCTACGTCGAAGCAGGACACCTTCTCGTGCCGTAGTCGGTTACCTTTCTCCTTGTTGCGCCTCTCCTCACCGCCGGTTCTCGCCGCCGGTTACTTCTCCGTTACGAGCAAAGGATCTCTCTCCAATAGTGAGCAAGGATCTTCCCCTTCCTCTGACCATTTAATGAACAGAGATTTTTTTCTTTTCCTCTTAATCAGACCACAAGAAACATTTCATTGGTAAACCCAAATCCTTATTTCCATATATGATGGCCTATACCTGTTGGTGATTCTTTTACACATCTCTTGTGTGTAGATCATATGTGATAAAGTTGAGATTTATTTCTTTATTTTATTTTTTTATTTATACAGAAGAGAGATTATGTTTGTCTTGCTTTCTTTATCGTTGCATGTATATGGAATTTGATTCCCTCCTGAGTTTCCCATTAAATCTTCTTTCTCATAAATGTCATGTATCCATTCTTCTGATGCCTTTGTGATTTTATCATCAACTAAGATAATAGATTGTTTGTTCCATTTACTTCATAACTTATAGATTTTATGTGAGAAATTCTAATGGCCTTCTCTACCATTCATTATTCACTTTTGGTTTTTAAGGATGCACGAATTCAAATTGTTTATCCTTATCCGATTTTTATTAGTCATTCTTAATTTGTGCTTGCACAAAGGAAATCGTGGTTGCTTCTTATATTTTAATGCTCATTATTTTCCTTAATCGAAATCTATATTTACTCTCTAAATCGCATGTTTTTATTTTGAATTTTTGTTCAGTTATCTAGAGTTTAAAATAAATACTTTAGATCACATGTTTTAAATAGTATTTATGATTTGAGAGAATGCATTGAGGCCTTCAGGTTTCTCGTACTGTTGATGGTTCCTGAGAGCATGCTCAAGATTTCCCTAATTGTTTAAGTTATATGTGGTGATGGGTTGTCGCTGTCTTGCTGATAATCATTAAGTCATATCTTCTTCTAAATACTTTTCTCATCCAAAGTTAACAACCTATTGTTTGGTTCTACATTAAGTCTCATCTTAACTATATATATCATTTTCTTCTCACATCTCATTCTATGAGGTATTGATTTACTGGATCAGCTGGTCTCTATAATCCACAAGAGATTCTTATGATCAGAATAACTAATAAAATTAGAAGAAAATCCTGCTTTACACTAAAACAAGCTTTGATCTGCTTCATGCTACACTAATCTTCATCGCTGCCCCTCTGTTATAACACAAATCAGCACACAGTTGCAATTTAAAGTGCTGCACTTTTGAATTGTTCAATCTAAATTTCGACTTGCTTTTCATTTTAGAAATATTTACATACGTATCACATAATTTTTATGTGTTTACGTATCTAACACCCTCAATCTGATTTTTTTTTTCTTACATATATGCATTGCATTGCTTGTGTGTGAAATGCTATCTGGTTGGTCATTTGATATGCTACGATGGGTTTAGATGCTATAAATGTAAAACTTGGGTGTGCTATGTGTAAACATATGAAGAATTCAATAATATTATTGAGGAGGTAACATAAATGTATAAATTAAAATGTTAGATATGCAAATACATGAAAGTTATTTACTATGGATGTAAATGTGAATACTTATTATTTATGCGTAGTGTCCCTGTAAGCTTGGGATTCTAGAGGTGGGGCGATTTACAAGTTGGTTATTCCATGCGATACATATATATGTGGTGTGATGATATGTGTGAGATAAAAAAATATATGTACTTTTCAATTCTTGTGTATTTACATATATAACTATTAAAATTCAATTTTTACCACTCTACCCATGCCTATAAGGGCTTATTTGACATTCAATTTGTGATTATAATATAAAAGATTTGGGTGGAATAAATATGAAAAGTAAAATTTAGTTGTTAGATATGTAATTATATAAGAATTGTATCGCATGTATGCAAATTTTCCATAAATTTAACTGTTGTTATTTTCATGACACTTGTTAAATATGCATTTACATTATGATATATATATATATAACAATTAAAACCCATGTATTCACACTTCTAAAACCCCAAACATGACATTTTATATTTCATATCAATTATTTAGTTATCATCTCTTATGCTTACATGAATGCTCGTTGCCGTGCATATTACTTATTGCAGTTATACTTTTATAATTCGTATCTTCAAATTAAGCCAATTCTTATAGTGACCAGACTAAGGGTTACCTTCTCGTGATTGCTTTGAGGTTGACAACATTTTACCCTATATCGAGTCTCACATACATGAGGCTGACGGTTGCCTATAGATGTCCCTCGATATATATGTCAAATAAACCCACCCCACTCAAACCTTTCATATATATGTCACTTGATCTTTTATATACACATACGCACATGTCTTTTGTGTTTTACCTTCTGTAATATTTGCATGCTTTACCCGTGAGTTTAACTCTTTAGCAGCAGCGTCTGAGGCGGCATGTACGTGCTATCACTCTCTTTTTTTGTTGCACTTTCTCTTTTACTACACTTTACTATATATATTTATTTGTTTACACATGCAATATTACTATTCGGTTACTTACTATACCTGTAAAAGACCCCTACAACAGAGAACAATATGCCATTTTTTTAGGAGGGTCCCTGCAACAAAACTTTGCGACCCAACAATATCCAACAGTCACCAGTTCAAACATACTTCTTAAAACCCAAATCAATCTCAATAAGGAGCTTGGAGCGAGCTTTTTGGGAAGCAAGATGAGGATGTAACCGGACGGCGACAAACTTCAGAAGACCAAAACATGAAGTGAAGGATGATCCTCAACTAAATTTTTGTAGTCTTGAACAAGTTAAAACCCTATGACTTCGAGGTCATAAATCCTCATGCTCTCTTTTAGGATTTTGTACGATTGTATGTCGTGCGATACAAACTCTAACTCTGTTTAGGATTTCGATGTTGCTTGTTCGGTAAGACGTAAATCCTTCTATCTTCTTGGGTCGTTTACTTGGGAAGTCACTAAGGTTCTCCTCAGAATATGTGACATCCCCTAAATTTTGCTCATTTGGATTCTCAAAATAACTATTCCACAATGATACATTTCTACTTGAATTTTTTATAAACAATCATGAATATTAAACGTTGAATTCTTGAAAACGAACCATTGATCTTAATTGAGAGTTTTCATAAGTGACTTTGGTTGCCTAATATGAAGAGGACGATAAATAGCTTCAAAAGACCAAAACATGAAGCGAGGGATGATCCCCAACTAAACTTTTTGTAGTCTTAAACGACATAAACCCCTAGAACATCAAGGTTGTTCATCTGACACGACGTAAATTCTCACGCTATCTTTTAGACATTCGTATGATCGTATGTCGTGCGATATAAGTTATAAATCTTTTTAGAATTTCGATGTTGTTCGTTCGGTATGGTGTAAATCCTCATATCTTCTTGGGTCGTTTGCATGATTGTATATCATGCAGATATATGTCTTAAATTCTAATAAATGACACGAGCAAATATTAAATAACATCATTTTCAAAATGTAAAACCATACAGTAGGATAACTTGGGAAGTCACTGAGGTTCTCCTTAGAATCTATGACATCCCATATCTTTTTTCTCTTTTGGATTCCTAAAATAATTGTTTCACATTGAGACATTCCCACTCGAAATTCCTATAAACATTCATGAATACTAAACGTTGAATTCTTGAAGACAAAACCCCTAAGCTTAATTGAAAGTTTTCTTATGTGACTTCAGTTACCTAAGATGAAATTAACTATAAGGGCTTGCGTTTATAGGAGAATTAGTAACCCATATAATATAAACCCTATCTAATCTTTTTTATATTAAATATAAGAACTGTCGGTTATAAATTTTGCAGACTAAACGAATGTCATAAATTATTTTATATAATCAAGTCCACAGTCAAGTGGTACACTTGTCTTTCGAGACAATGTATTGCTTGTAGGGTTGTGCTCGATTATTTAAACTATCAAATATATGAGATCTATACGGTCTCATCGTTCAAAATTAAAACACTATTTTAAAATATATATATATATATATATCAATTAAAGCAACCGACAAATTTCAAAAGGTAACAGATAAACGCAGACAAAACACAATTTTGTCAAATAGGAAAGACTGCGGTGCAGCACCGCACCGTACTACCACCCCAAACACACATTAGGTGAGGCACCACAGTGCCATCTATCAAGGTTTGGGTGTTCCACTGCTTTAGACACTGGGGCATTATAACCATATTAGATTTTTTTGAGAACGGGTGGTGGTGTCTAACTCCAGCGTCACAACAGCATAAACTACGTTAATTGATTTTATATACACGTCTTTTCATGTGCTGGGCCACGGTGACCAACACCGTGGCTGCACTATCGCGCCCTAATCAGATTCTTTGCTTCTAGCTTGGATGACTCTGCATGTATGTAATTCCAAAATTACTTCAAAATGACCTAATTACTTCAGAATGAGCCAAAACTGGTGGAATCAGAAGGTAGATGATAATGATGATAGGGTCCATGAAGAATATATATGTATATAGTTTGTATACTTACAAAAAATTAAACCAATTCGTAAAAGCTTTTGTTATAACTTTGCTATCTACAAACACTATCAAACTTTTGTCTATTAAAGTTTCTCCATAAATAAGTAGTTAATGCAAAACTTAAATTTTTTTACAGGGTCATCATTCTTAGGTTTGAGGGAAGTTGTAAAACTCTAAAACAATTTTTTTTAATAAAATTATAAAACAACCATTTGAATGGTGCTCCTTATGTGTTTCTAGTTTTATTATACATGGTTTAATACCATCCATTTAATTTAAAGATGAGCTCAAAATGTTGAAGAATTATGAAAAAGTAATTATAAGAAGTGAAAACTAAAAGCAAGTGTTGGCTTCAATACTGTTGAACCAAAGAAAGATGAATATTGCCTTTTTATAACTAATAATTTGGACTGTGATATTTTATTTAGTAAAATTATTAAGTAATTTAATCAAACATATCTTTAAATTTTAGATGATTTAGTTGATTTCTAGGTTAGGAAAACACCTCCTAAACTTTTAGAAGAAATCAACTCAATGGTGAAAAAACTAGAAGAAATTAGGATAGGCATCAAAGAAGATTATTGACCCAATTTTATAAGCTCCTTATTAAGTGGGGGTGATGTTAATGGCTTGATCAAGTTACTTTTGGAGTTGAAGGACTATTATTTTGGACATATGAT